CTCTCTCTCTCTCTCTCTCTCTCTCTCTCTCTTCTCTCTCTCTCTCTCTCTCTCTCTCTCTCTCTCTCTCTCTCTCTCTCTCTCTCTCTCTCTCTCTCTCTCTCTCTGCGGCAAACGAATCAAGAGGACCGATGGGAAAAAACGTTGTAATGCAGCACGCAAAACCAGGTCATCCTTTTCGAGCCACCAATTGTCAGCGTTAATTGAGTGGCAAGAGAAAAAATGGGACACGATGTATTTGTCGAAAAAAAAAATGGTTTATAACGAATAAAATTCGTTAGCCTCCCGTCATGAAATTCCGTCGCGATCGATATATCATGAATTTTTCTTTGCCGCCACAGAACGTTCTCGAAGAATACATAACACGCGATGACACGCAATGACTAATATGTCAAGTGAGAAACATATTTATTTCAGAAGAATTTTTAGAAAAACTATACGACTTCTTCTCTATTTTGATATCTTTATGGAGGTAATTTCTTATAAAGAAATAATTAATCTGGATCTACCAATAACCTACCAATAAATGTCTGATTTACTAATAATCTATCAATAGATATAAATAAATAAATATAAATAAATATATATTTATTTATTTATATTTATTTATTTATTTATTTGACTATATATTTACGTATATATATGAAATTTTATGTTTAATTATATTTAAATGAGCTTATTAATATTAATAACGTATTAATTACATTAATTCGAACAATTACATTAATTAAAAATTTAGAAAAAAATGTTTAATTTAAAACTGTCTTTCTTTATTTTAAAAAATTCAATCTTTAACTTTTTATCATTTTGAATTAAACATTTCTTTCTAATTTTTTAATTGAATTAATGTAATTAATGTGTTATTAATGTTAATAAAGGTCATTTAAATATAATTAAAATAAATTTAATTAACATAAGATTTTATTATATATTTATAATTTAAAGTGTCTTTATATTTCTTAATGAAAATTTGACTTCATTTTGAGTCTATATTCAGTCAGTAATAAATTCTCGTCGTATTGAAAGTATCATAAAAATTAAATGACAGACGTTGAACTTCGAAATGCGATGAAATTAGCACTTTTGAACAAGCCATCATAAAAACTGTAGTTTTCTGGCGATAAAATGAAAATGATATTTTTTAATGGAATGGATAGTATGTCGGGTGTTCAAATGTGAGAAACCTCAACGATGTGGATTTGGATGTGGCTATAAAAATAGAAAAATAGACGACAACCGTATTAACATTCCGATGTAAATAAATGTTGATTAAATAAATTAATTAAATTCCTGTTCTTCATTTGATCTCGCTCTAATACTAGTGAATAATGGAAACTAATTGAAAGTGAATTGAAGTTATCCTTGTGTTGACGTACAAAATTAACTTCTATCTCTATACTATCTACTTCTATCTCTATACTACTCGACAATGCGGAAATGCGACATTTGCATATGAAATACGTTCTAGAATATTAAACTCACATTATTATTTCAATACTCGGTATTTCGATATTAATATACATATCTTCTTCGCGAAATTGTACATTTCGTGAAAAATTATGGATTCGAATAACTACCTCTCTCTTTTGTCCTTGTATCATCGATAAATAACTCGAGTCAAATACGCAAATTCGTACATATGCGAGCGTACGCGCAATAAATATCTGTCTGTACATTGCGCTTAGAGACGACCACGTAAACGCCATTATAAGTGCATTACGAGCCCCATCAGTGTTATAAATGCACTCACGGAGTCTAGTACTTTGTGGAAGCATAGAGTACTTAGTGCGGCGCAATTGCGAAAATGACCTCGTAGTAGCGAAAATGCCTTCTGCGTGTGCGAAATTAATATATTTATATTTACAACAATATCTACTCTGTTTTCTTTTCAAACAATGATATTATCAGGATAATCCAATAACACGATTGTTGTAACTACTGTAGATCGGCAGAGCAATATTTTGAGCAAAATCGGAATTATACGAATTATACTTTATATATTAATATTTTTTATATTGTGTTTACACTATATCATTTCTATAATATTAATTAGCGACGAAATGCATAGTATATGCAAAATGCCAAAAGCTTTTATATGTTATATTATAACACAATCTCAATTGAAAATATACATGTATATTAAATGATAATCTTCATATAAAAAAGTAAAAATTTTTTCAAAAAGCAAAAAGATTTTGATAGAAATTTAATGACGCATATTTAGTTATTAATATATTTAAAGGTATAATAATTGCAAAAACTAAATGATACGTAAAGATGCTAGAATTTTATCCAAAATCAAAAATAATACGTAAGATATTTCGCGTATGTGCGTGCACGCACGTATGTGTGTAGCAACAAAATATAATTAAGTTGAAAAAATTAACTATACTAAAACTGAAAATTAAAATTTTGGCAAAATTAAAGTTAAATTGCTTTAGAGTAATTTTTTTTATTTAAAGCGAAATTTTTCTGCCCTCTTTTAAAAAATTTGGGTTTTATAATTTTTTTTAATATAATATAAAACTCGAAAATTGAAAAATTAATTTAAAAAATTATATACACGATTACTTATATTTTCTAAAAATTGTGTTTTAGGTGCTGCATCATGGCACGACTTTAGTGCATTGGGACTGTGAGAGTGGTACCTCGAGGACAGCATTGGTATTTGCGCGTGTCGATCGCGCCTGTAGCACCTTCGTGTGGGAAAAGCCACCCTGGAGTCCCCTGAAAACGGCGCAAGTTGGTGGTACCGCTTTCACAGAGTTTTCGCTGAGCGCGAATCCGGAGGACGCGATACCAGCGGGCCTAGTTGGCAGATATACGCAGCAGCAGGCTGACTGCGCTTCTGTCACTTTAGAAGAGGGATACCTTGACCTGGGATCGGTGAAGGAGATAATGATTGGCTGTTGCGACCGCGATCGAGAGGCTGATCTCAGGAGCATCTGCAAGAGATATGGCCTACCTGGCTCCGACTGCTGCATCGGCCTCATGTATGGCTCCAATCTTCCGGATAATCGACTGATCTTCCTACTTTGTCCTCCCGCTCTTAGCAAGTACGTATTAATTATCACTATACAGTTATTAATGTAAAAAAATGTGACGTGTGTCACGCTTTGCAATATTTCATGTCATGCACAATTCGATTTAAAAATTAAAATTTATTTTTAATTTATATGTATATGCAAAATTGAGAATATTACATACCAAACGTGTGTTTCTTTAATTTCATTTTTTGGAAAAATAAAGAAAAATCTCAGTTTACATATCCAAGATTATTTCACGGATATTTCTTTTCAATTTATTAATTATACTTTTGTGTGTTATTTGTGCCGTACGTTTTAAAGCATTTGTAAAAAAATTACTGCGTAAATTCATTGATATACTTCCTAGAGGATTGGATTGGATAACATATCATTAATAATATATTAATATGTTCATAATATATTATTACGAGCAGTGGTATATTAATAATAACAAACATTCCGTATATATTTTACGCGATGCTAACAATTCCCTCTAATTTATGATTTATTGCTAAATTACGTACCGCTGAGATATATAAATTATGTAATTTATGTACGTTGCTTCATTTTTAGAATATGGTATATGGGATTGTGCTGGATATTGCGAGGCCTCAAACGTCAACAACAGTTAACAGATCGTAGATCACGCTGGTTGAAAGAAAAATATCTTCAATTGTACTTTTCCTATTTGGAACAGCCGATGGAAGGTTTGGAACAGCCGACGACAGCCGATGCTATTCGCGTTTTTGGCGGTCGTGACTGGTCTATGACAGAAAGTATCGGCACGCTGTCACCAACGAGCAGTAGCACTCTACGAAGACGAAATGTTAAAGGCAAAAAGACAAAATCAATTGGCAACATTCATGCTTTAACTAAGGTTCGCACGAGGCTCGTCTCGTATCTTTTACAATAAAAATTACAATAAAGATTAGACTTAGAACAAATATAGTTGCGAATAAAAAAAGAAAAATCGCACCTCACGTACAATCATTTTCAGTAAATATAACTTAAAGTTAATCTTGATGTTTAATTTAGGATTTGAGTATAAAACAGTACGATTCCTCCTCTTCGGATGGAGGATTATGTGCAACACCTTTACGTCATATCGCGGGAAGCAGAGAGTCCTTAACGAGAATCCTACCAGCGTCGCCGAGAGCAAGTCGTGACCGAATCCCGCCACGTAGCCCGCCCGGTTCCGGCGACCGTTTCACTTCCAACTTGCCTTACTCCGCATTTCAAAGGTACATATTTCTCTCATTTACTCTCTTTCTTCTTCTTGATTTTCAGAATATTTATATTTAGATCGAAAATAAAAATTTTGTAATTATCGTAATTACAAATATTATTTAAATATAAAAAAATCAGAAATTTAAGAGAATTTTCTCATGCAAAACAATAAGCAATCTTTATAATTTTCTTTTTTTAAAGAGCAAAAAGAAATTCTCTTTTCAGTAATATATTTTCAAGACCTTAAAATCTTAAAAGTATATTCCTAAGATAAGAAAAGAAAAAGAAAAAAGAAAATTTCAATTTGAAAGATTCGAAGAAATCTCACATGAAAAAATTATTTTTACGATTGATCAATTTTCTTTTTATTCTTGCAATAACGTTCGCGTAGTTTGCTGTGTGTCGCCAGGGAAAAAGATAAGAACGGATCCGGTGGAATACCGGGAGGCTTGGAAGCCCCTTGGCAGATGAAAGCGCGCACTACTTCGATCATGTACGAGACTCAATTGAACTTTGTGGAATTTGTCGCACTTTTTCGATCGTTCAGCTTACGAGCCAGGAAAGATTTGCGTGATTTGTTTGGTCAATTAGCGATTACGTGTCGTAGCCAAAGTGATGGATCGTTAAGAGACTTTAATATTCGACCGGTGGTGCTCAGACAGACTAGCGATGCCACTCCACAAAGAATCGGTAGGCCGATAAAATAGACGTAATCATTAAATTTTATTTTAGTAAATTTTAATATAGACAAGCCCTATGTTTAATTATGTTAACAAAAATGCGATAAGTTTATCTTAAATATAAATATATGACTGAAAACTCAACATTAAAAATAATAATTTTGAATAAATTGGAAATGAAAAGAAAAAAAGATTCAAAATGTATTTGAATTATCAAATTTTGATCATTCAAATACATTTTTCTATATTTGTTGAAAATAAAACTGTAATAATATATCATAATTATATCAATTTATATATAAATAATTGTTTTCAAGTATTGTTTAAAACATAAAATCAATATTTAAATGCGGTAGGTTTGTTGACGAGAAACAATTCTATTGACTGTCACGAATATAAGACGGGCAGTAACTTGCAAAAGAAACAGATCTTCGATGCCATCGCGGCGGCAAGTATAGTCAATAATTGTTCCGGCGTGGACACATCGAAATCTCAAGTCATCACTTTGGCGACATTCACGAAATTCTTGGAATCCCGGCAGCAGGAAAAGTTGAGCGACGAGGAGATCAAGGCATTGGTCAAGGTAAATGTTTATGAAGTCAGAGATCAGCGAGCGAGAAAATGTGTGTTTGATTAACTGCTTCATTTTTCTCCGACAATTTTTTTTCACGTAATACAGGAGATTAATATCCCCTAATATATTTTGCACGCTAGACCGTCGTACACGGTTGATGTGTTGATGCGTTCAATCTTGAATGAACGGCTAGAATAAACTGCTTTTGTGTTGAAGACGATAAACGATCCTTCCTTTCATTGCGTTATACCGAACTCGTGATTTCAATTTGCCTTATCTGGAAATAGAAGACCCAACTTCTCCGTATGCTCATACGACTGCAATCGCGATGCGCTACGCGCGTATGAATGTACGATCCGACGTAATACAATCAAGCGGACCCGTTTACTCTCATTTCAGAGGCACGAACCAGACCCGGCACTTCGCACACAGTGGTGTTTGTCTTTCGAGGGTTTTGCGCGGTATATGATGGACAAGGACAATTATGCCTTTCCAAACGAGTATGCGACACCGTCCGAAACCGAGATGCAGCAGCCTCTATCGCAATATTACATTGCCAGCTCTCACAACACATATTTGACTGGGCATCAGCTCAAAGGAGAGTCCTCTGTGCAACTATATTCGCAGGTGGGCTATGACTTTCGAAAATAAATTCATGTAATGAATAAAGTTTGTAAAATCAGGACATGAAACATTCTTATTATGACATCATAGTTTGCTTTGTCGTGATTAATTTTGAACTTGATGCTTGTTATTCATTAATAATCTCTCTTATTACTTAATGAGATATAAAATAAATTATTAAGTAATTCTTTTCTTATACATATATCCTAAATATAAAAAATGTATAAGTTTAAAAAATTCATTCTTTTACTTTACAAAATGAGTAATATAAATTTTCGTTTAAAGTCGTGTTTAATTCGAATAAAATCTAATGGCATGATAACAACATAACAACCTCCAGGTTCTCTTAACTGGTTGTCGCTGCGTGGAACTCGATTGTTGGGATGGTGATGATGGATCCCCGTTGATTTATCACGGCCATACTTTCACTACCAAAATACCATTCCGCTCGGTCGTGGAAGCGATTGATCGAAGCGCTTTTGTTATCTCCCCTTATCCCGTAATCCTTTCCATTGAGAACCACTGTTCGCCAAGTCAGCAAGCTCGCATGGCTCAGATCTTTCAGGTACAAATTAATTGTCTAGCAAATTATTTTTTTTATAATTACTTATTATACATACATCAAATTACAATCAAACAACTTCTCTGTTTCAGTCTGTTTTTGGTGAAAAATTGGTAACGAAGTTTCTCTTCGAGTCCGACTTTAGTGATGATCCCCAACTGCCTTCGCCTTCACAGCTGCGTTATCGAATCTTGATAAAAAATAAGAAGCTGGTAGTTGATCCTGCTGGTCCCTTATCACACACGCCACTCAGTCATCGTGGAAAAATGCTCATGTCGGATCGCGCATCCTCCATGAAGCAAATGCGAACCGACGTGAGCAGCACATCGGTTGTTGAATATTTCAGCGAAGATGAAGATGATGAAGAGGACGATGATGAAGATGATAACATTGATGGTAAAAATAATATATTATTGATATTAAAGCGTGCTTGGAAAATTTTTAGTGTTTTGGAAATGTTTTATAATAATTTGAATCGATCTAAAATCGATTAAATTGCGTATGTGTCATAAACTCAAGTTCAATTCAATTAAAAGTGTAAAAAGAGCATAAAAAATATTAAATTATTAATAGAGTCACTATGAAATAATTTCTATATAATTATGTCTCTAATATATCTTTCTGAAGTATTAAGCATCTAACTATTCAAATATGTTTTAATCAGTTTAATTACAACTATAGTAAGCCAAAGCATACGGTGATCATTAATTGTATCGAAACGACGATCATAAATCACTGCAGTCGAAAACGCTACTAGTCTATAATACTAATTAGATTAATTCTTTTCCAAAAAGATATCGAAGTTTGCTGTTAATAAATTTTCAATTTTTTTGAAACCAAGGTTTAAATTAAATGCTGGAATACTATATATTGTTTTATCCTATTTCCGTTCTTTGAGTTACAATGGTAAATCCAATTTTTCTTTTTTCTACTTGTTCTACAAGAAATATAATAATCATTAGCAATTACAATCTCACTGAAGCGAATCACTTGACGTGTAATTTACAGATAACTCGATTTCAAGCTATGAGAGATACCAAGGTGGCAATCAAGTACCGCATGGTCGTTTGAAATCGGACTCAGGAGTGGATGATAAATCACAGAAACAGAGCAGTCAAATAGCCAAAGAATTATCGGATTTAGTCATTTATTTGCAAGCAATTAAATTCCGCGGACTGAATACCACACCAGTCGTCATGGGAAAAATACGTCATCAATCATATACGGGGCCAGTTCAAAGGCACAGCATCGCTGGTATAGGACCTAGTAGCGTAGCTTCTTCATCCGGATCGCCACAATCACTCTCGACATCCGCCTCAATCGCGAGCGGTGGTAGCAACATCGATAATATTTTTAGGTCAGTTTTACATTGCAAAATATTTTCTTTATTTTCATATACATACTTTTAAACTATTATTTGTCATTACGTTTCCTTAGATCACTTAATGTTGCTCTTGCTCTTGTTTTACGTTTCCATTTTCAAAATTATTACATATTATAATTAGAAATGTTTAATTCTGTAAATACAAAAGACAAATGTATTTTTCTGCATTTACGTTATAGATCTACTCGTGGAATGCCGGCCTGCTTCCAATGTTCGTCTCTAAATGAGAGCACAGCGAAGAAGATTTGTAGGAAGCAACCGTTGGGCGTATTGGCTCATGCAGAGACTCAACTCATTCGAACGTATCCCGCGGGGATGCGTATTGATTCTACAAATTTTAATCCTGTAATATTTTGGGCTTTCGGAATCCAAATGGTCGCATTAAATTATCAGACCGATGACGCGGGATTAAATCTGAATGCAGCCATGTTCGAGCAAAGTGGTCAATGCGGTTACGTTAGGAAACCTTCGGTAATGTGGGACAAAGGACACATGATGTACAGGTAAATTCACATTTTGCCATATGTTTCATCAATTTCCTAATTATGCGACAATAAGAACATGATATGTGTATTTTAAGAGAGAGTATATTTAGTTTATAAATTACAACTATCCTTAAATCTTTTTTATCCATTTTATATTATAAAAATTTATCTTTACTATGAAAAGATGTCTTTATCTTGGAAAAAAATAAAATAGAGAATTATTTCTAAATTATTGTATATTATTTCAAACAGTTTCTTGAACAATCAAATGTTTTGACAGACGGTTCAACCCTTGGGATAAAGAATTCGACGGATTGCACTCTGCGCATTTGAGTCTGTCAATAGTCTCAGGACAATACGTTTCGGTTACAAACTTCGTCACCAGTACGTACGTCGAGGTTGAATTGGTCGGTATACCGATCGACTGCGCAAAGCACAAAACAAAAGTGATCCAGAATAATGCACTGAATCCCATTTGGAACGAGAAATTCTGCTTTCAAGTTATGTTCAAGGATCTCGCCTTTCTGCGTTTCGGTGTCATCGAAGCGAGCTCTCATCATGTAATCGCGCAACGTGTAATACCGCTAAAGTGTCTACGACCTGGCTATCGACACGTACGATTACGATCCTGCAAGAACAAGCCACTAGCTCTTTCCACGCTTTTTATCTATTCTCGGTTGGAGGAAGAGAGCTTGGATTATAACACGTGTTGCCGCGATCACAAGGAGTCATCTAAGCGTCTCTCATCAAGCAAGGAACCTGAGAAATTAAGTACCGTCGATCCTGGATCTTTGGGTGGCGTCACTCTGAAGAGACGAATGTTCTTCCTGATGGTTTACCATGTGATACCAGATGAGCCATATACCATCCTGAAAGTGACTCAGGAGAGTACTACGCAAGAAGTGATGCTGCAAGCATTGCAGAAGGCCGGAATTTCGCCGGATCACGTGGACGAGTACATCCTAGTAGAGGAAGTATCCCGTGGATGGGAGAAAAGAGATAAGGAAGAACTGCCAACTCAACGTGTGTTGGATCCTACGGAACATCCTCTTCAGGCACAGGCTTTATGGAAAGGACAAGGACGCTTCCTGCTAAAACGAGTGGGCGACGATCCAAGCAGTAGAGCATGGCTCGCTTCTATCAGAAGCACGGCCGGCCACTCGAAACTCAATGATTCCAACACGAGGGACCAATCTACTCACATATGGGATGAAGCAGATACTTTTCTGGTCTGTATTTATAACGTCTCGCCGGAAATCCCTTATGCGATTTTACGCGTGCCGATAAGCAGCTCAGCGCAGGACGTGCTGGCGCAAGCTCTGATAAAAGCCAGAAGAATGGAAAATCCATCTAAATTTGCTTTGGTCGAGGAGTTGGAATGGGGTGGAGCGGGTGCCGTCGGGAGCGGAAATCGTCAACTAAGGGTGTTGAGCGATGAGGAGAATGTTTACACCACGCAAGCTTTTTGGAAGACCCTCGGTAGATTTATCCTTAGAGAAAGAGAACAGGCCATTCCCAGACGAACTTTATTGCCCGCAACTCTTGATCGACTCAGCAAGGGATTTTCTGTGGGCAGATCAGTGTCTCTGCCAGGATCTAGCAAGGAGAAGGTACCCGTTTCGGAAGCATTATCAGATCCCACTTCTAGAGGTCTGAGACATCGGCTGATGATGTCGGGACGTAGACGAGAAGTTCATTCTGATGGGGAAGATACGCGTGAATCTGACATATTAAACGCTGCTTTTCATTTAAAGAAGGTCTCATTCAGAAAACTGATGAGCTGGAAATCATAGTGGCAATCAAGGGCGACGTCGATATCATCGATCTTCGCCGCTCGGAGAAGCCACTTGTAAGCTTGTGGTCCATTTATTATAATCAGAATCTAATCCTGATCTCATGAAACATTTTCGATATCGACGATCCTGTCGAAGTGCGACCTTAAACCGAAATAAGAGCTTGAGAGGATCAAAAGATTTCATTTTGTCGGAAGTAAATACAATACAAGCGTCATGGATGCTCGTAAAAGTTACAAATTAGTAAATCTTGGAATTGGATAATAAGATAAATGATCAGAACAGTAAAATATCCATATCGCGATATTAAAAAATATCAGACAACTCGATTTTGCTATTGATCAGATGACGATGACGTTATACGAGAAGAAATATGACTTTTAAAATAAAAAAAATTAGTTTCTTTAGAGTATAATTCTTTGGAAAATATAACGGTTTAGAAAATAAATTGACATTCTTAAATTCTATTACGCGATTATCTCCGTGATATTTAAGCGAAATATCAGACAAATGAAATAATCATAATCGCTGTAAGAAGTAACCTCGACGAATCGAATTTTCCCAAGAAAAATGAATAATATCGAGATGGAGATTATTACGCCGCCATTTTCAAAGATTTTTAAAAGTATAGTATATCTGAAGTAACGACGCAGCACAATCATTAAGTGGCAAAGCGAATCTTAAATCCCTCTAAGTTTGCATGAAAACCAAGCATCATATTCTAGGTGTTGATTTCGTCGCGTGACAGTAAATTCGTATATTTAGAGTCGATGCCGTGAACTGCCGCGTCCGATAGACGCGCTGGCGCGTCGAAAAAAAGAAATTAAATGCCACGTGTCATGTCTGATTTTATTATTTTTGTACAACGAAGAAAAGAAGGAGATCGCATCGGGCGATCTTTAAACATTTTGCCAAACGACGAGTCTAAGTGATCCGTGACACATTCGTAATATCTAGACGTATCGGAAGTGCTTCCCCATTTGAACGTGTTTTCGTTTGAAACATATCGGACCCGCCTCCGTCTAATTGATATACCGTACATCTAAAGAAGTCCCGCGGCTTCACGTGACTTCTCATCATTTGTATGTGTCGGTTTTATCATTTACGTCGTACCTGAAGTTTTACATTGATACAAGTATTACGCTTTCGTGCGACATCTCTGTAATAGAGTTGTATATCGCTGTTATTGCACTTTGTTTGTTCGTTCTATTAACGTTAATCATTTCTTTTTGCGTCTAGTCGCCCATGTGATAAAGAATTTGAGTATAGAATCCAATGAGAGAATCGTAATGTATATTGGAAGTTGCTACTTAAAGATCGTATTTACTATATATTGTTAACGCTAGAGGGTAGATCGGTGTTGCATTCTCGATTACCGTCCCTCTCTCCTGACTGTTTTAGCGAGCGTATGTATACGTAGATTGTAAATACGAGACCAAGGAGTGTCGATGGAAAATCGCGTCCGAATCGCGTGCTGTCGCTCTATTCAATTATTTTTTCACATGACAAGGCGTTCGTGCGTCGACGAACTTCGTTCGTTGTGTACACTTGAAGCCAGTAGCCTAATTTTATGAAAATTTTATGATAATTTCGCTAACGTTAATTAATTAACTAATGAGAAGTAATATGGAATCTGATATCGTTAATGAATGAGGTCGCAAGATAGCCTTGCCCCGTCTTCCACATGCGAATCATTCCAGATATTTTATATTTTCGTGACAGCCCCGCAGACTGATTTTTTAGGCGAATCCATATAGTTGTACGACATGAAAACGTTGGGATTTTTTAATGCTGTGAGAAAAATATATGCAGTACATTAGTCATATCCTTCCCTGATATCGTACTTTGCGACACTAAAGATTCTGTATATTTTTGGATACCATTTCCTTTCTTATCTTCCAACTCTCCTAAATACAAAATTACATATCCGCATGAGAGATCAAACGAGTAAAATAAACAAGATAAGAAATGAGAGGCAGACTAATTACATTTGTATGCATATACTAAAATAAAAAAAAAATAAAAATAAAAAAATAAAAGAAAAAATACGATGAAATAACTTCTCTAAAAAGAAGATATAGATTAGTCTGAAAGTGATCATCTGTCGCTTGTGAAAAGAATGATAAAAATACTTCAATTGAATCACGACAGTCTTAAGGTGAAAGGGAAATTAAATTAAAAAAGAAATTTAAAAAACTAACTATATGTACAAATATCATTAGAACGCAATTGTCGCAAAGTATTTTCACAAATCGTAGATCGTATTGATTAGCAATATAATTTAATTATCGTATCTATTAACACATTTGACAATATTGTGAGAAGTAAGAGCATTTTCCATTTTAAAAAAATGTATTTTTTCTGTTATCTATAATATTATTT